TGAGCGCAAAAGGGATTTTAAAAATCAAATAAGAAAGGTAGAGGAAAAATTGGGGAAAGAAATGAGGGTGATGCAAGAAAATCATGAAAAAAAGAGTTAACAGCTTGGTAAAGTGGGCACAAAAAATAATACTGAAGAAAATAATATCTTAAAAAGCTGTATGGGCCAAATGGTAAAAGAGGTACAATGATCCACTGAAGAGAAGAACGCCTTAAAAAAAGCAGAAATGGCCAAAAGGAAAAGAAGGTACAAAAGCTCACTGAAGAAAATAATACCTTAAAAATGAGAATTGGGCAAGTGGAAGCTAATGATGCATGAGACGCCAAGAAACAATATGACAAAATCAAAAGAATGAAAAAATAGAAGAAAATGTGAAATATCTCATTAGAAAAGCAAATGATCTAGAAGACAGATTGAAGAGAGATAATTTAAGAATTTTTGGACTACCTGAAATCTATGATCAAAAAAGGAGCCTAGATATCATCTTTAATGAAATTATCCAGGAAAATGGTCCTGATATTCTAGAACCAGAAGGTAAAATAGAAACTAAAAGAATCCACTAATCACCTCCTGAGATTCCAAAATAAAAACTCCCAGGAATATTATAACCAAATTCCAGAGCTACCAGGTCAAGGAGAAAATATTGCAAGTAGCCTAGAAAGAAACAATTCGATGTTGTGGAGCTCTAGTCAGGATCACAGCAGATTTAGCAGCTTCTATGTTAAAGGATTGGTGCATGTGGAACATGATATTCCAGAAGGTAAAGGAGCTAGCATTACAGTCAAGAATAACCTACCCAGCAAAACGAGGTGTAATCCTTTGGGGGGGAAACGGATATTCAATGAAATAGAGGACTTTCAAGCATTCCTGAGGAAAAGACCAGAGCTGAACAGAAAATTTGACTCTCAATACAAGACTCCAGAGAAGCACAAAAAGGTAAACAGGAAAGAGAAATAATAAAGGATTCAATAAGATTAAACTGTTTATATTCCTATATGGGAAGATGATACTTGTAACTCTTAAGAACTTTATCATTATTAGATGAAAGAAAGGAGTATACATAGACAAAGGACATAGGTGAGTTGGACATGATGGAATGATATCTAAAAAAAAATAAAATTAAGGGGTTAGAAAGAGGGATTCACTGGGAGAAGCGGGAGGGGAGAAGTAGAATGGGTAAATTATTTCACATAAAAAGGCAAAAGAGCTTTTACAGTGGAGGGGAAGGTGGGAGGGGAGTGCTTGAATCTTACTTTCATTAGAATTGGCTCAAAGAGGGAATAACATATACACTCAGGTGGGGAGAGAAATCTATCTTAACCTACAGGAAAGTGGGAAGGAAAGGGATAAGAGAAAGGGAGGGGGGCTGATAGAAGGAAGGGGGATTGGGGGAGGCAGCGGTCAGTAGCAAAACACTTGAGAATGAACACGGTAAAGTAAGAGAAAGTAAGATAAACGGGGGAAATAGGATGGAGGGAAATACCCAGTAATCATAACCATGAAAAAAAATTTTACAGCAGGTCCTTCTGATAAAGGCCTCATTTCCCAAGTATATACAGAACTAAGTCAAATTTATAAAAATAAGAGCCATTTTCCAATTGATGAATGGTCAAAGGATATGAACAGGCAGTTTTCAGATGAAGATATCAAGCTATCTATGTCATAAGAAAAAATGCGCCAAATCACCATTGATTAGAAAAATGCAAATCAAAACAACTCTGAAGTACCACCTCACTCCTCTCAGATTGGCTGATATGACAGAAAAGGAAAATGACAAATGTTGGAGGGGATGTGGGAAAATTGAGACACTAATGCACTGTTGGTGGAGTTGTGGACTGATCCAACTATTCTGGAGAGCAATTTGTAACTATGCCCAAAGGGCTATAAAATTGTGCATACCCTTTGACCCAACAATACCACTACTAGGTCTGTATCCCAAAGATATTTTTTTAAAAAAGGAAAAAGGACCTATTTGTACAAAAATATTTATAGCAGCTCTTTTTGTGGTGGCAAAGAAGTAGAAATTGAGGGAATGCCTATCAATTGGGAAATGGCCGAACAAGTTGTGGTATATGAATGTAATGGAATACTATTGTGCTCTAAGAAATGATGAGCAGGCTGACTTCAGAAAAACCTGGAAAGACTTGTATGGATTGATACAAAGTAAAGTGAACAAAACCAGTAAAACACTGTACATAGGAACAGCAATATTGTATGATGATCAACTGTGAATAGCTTTGCTATTCTCAGTAATTCGATGATCCAAGACAATTCTAAAGAACTTATGATGAAAAAATGCTACCCATCCCCAGAGAAAGAACTGATGGAGTCTGAAGGCAGAATGAAGCATACTTATAAAAAAAAAACCACCAAAAAACTTAATTTTTCTTGTTGTCTGTATTTTTTTTCACAACATGACTAATGTGGAAATACGCTTTGCATGACTCCACATGTATAACCTATATCAAATTGCATACCATCTCAGGGAGCGGGGGAGGGTAAGGAGGGAGAGAATAATTGTTTTTATATGTAATTGGGAAAAATAATATTTTTTTTTAAAGAAAGAAGTTGGAAAAGAGACACCGCTTAGTAAGTGGACAGGTAGAAAAGTTCCTGCCTATGCTCTAAAGTAGGGAGGAAAGATCCTTTCCATCTCCCTTTGACAGAAGCCGCTCACCCAGTCTCCATGTGCATTGGGAGCTGATGGATGGACCCTGCACCTGCTCATTCCATATGCATGATCCGATCTGAGCCTCGCAATTAACCCGTGAAGTTGGTATTACACATATTATTATCCTGGTTGCACAAGATGACGAAACTAGGGCTCGCAGAGGTTACAGGATCGTGATCAAATAACTTGTGTCAGAGGCAGGATATAAATGTAACTCTTCAGCATTCAGTCTAAGTACGTAATCTGCTGCTCTAGGAGAGAGAGACATGTAGAGAGGGCCTTCCACTTGTGTCCAAAGAATCAACTGTAACACACAGAGGTAGCCTATATACATACATACATACAGATAATATACGGATGGATGTAGCATGCACATAACTCATGTTAATTAGTTATATATTTATTTTATGTTATTTATATTTATCTTATGTTACATCATTTCTATTTGTTATTTCTATTACATTTATGATTGTCATATATTATCAATATTTATATTATAGTTATTTGTATATACCTATATCTTAACATATATTTAAACACTATGTGCTATATTTTCATATTCATATTATACATTTATTATATTATGATATATACATTTATTTAGATATTAACATGTCATGTTAATAACATACCATTTATAGATTTTATTTATGTATTTTATTCATATATATGTCTAATAGTGATTTATTATATTTGTATTTTATATTTTATTTCTATGTCTATATAGTATATATTTTATGTAATTTATATATTCATATACTGCATATATCTGTTTTCATATGTTATATTTTACCTATGCTTATATAATCATGTTTTATCTATATATTTTACTTGTTCATATAGTCATATATACATTTGTATTTTAGTTGTGTTTATATGGTCACAATATATTTGTATATTTTATGTGTATGTTTATATATTAGTACATTCTATTCATATGCTTTTGTATATTTTATGTTTATATAGTCATATATTCATATACTGTTATATTTATGCACTATATGAAATCAATGTAATTCATAGAGGAATGTGATCTACAGGTTAGGGGAGGTGAATTCTAGTGATCTAAGTGGATTGCAAAACCAACGTGCGTCAGCAGTGAGATCGGGCAGAAAACAAAAGCTAATGGGATCTGGTCTAGGAAGCTAGGAGGTTAAGAGACCTGCCTGGGGACACACAGCTAGGGAGTGCCAGAGGAGGATTTGAACTCAGGGCTTCTTGATTCTAAGACCAGTTCTGGGTCTCTAGGTGGCGAAGAGAGAGGTAGGGGAGTTGAGAGTACTGCAGGGCTACCCCTGCCCTGCATTTTATAGCAGGACTGTTGTGCACACTCCTGGATGCAGATTTTAGGAAGGGCACCAAGAGGTCACATGAGGTCAGAGGGCATAGTGGTCAAAGGAGCAGGGGACGTCCAGCTAGGGTGGAAATAGTGCAGGACTTAGAGTCAAATCCCTCTTCCAACGTTTAATAGCTGTGTAACCACGGATATATAACTGAACTGCTCTGGGCCTCAGTTTTCTCATCTGTAAAATGGGGGCTCACAAGTCGCTGTGAGGCATCTCGTCCAACACTCCCATTTCACTGATGAGAAGACTGAGGCTAACTTTCCAAAGGTCACACAGACAGTAACAGGGCAGTACCTCTCCCGGATAAGATTCCAGTCCCCTAAGCCTTTATTAAGCTCTTGCTGTATGCCAAGCCCAACAGACACCACTAGGAAACGCTGAGGAAGAGCTCTGCACACTGTCCCTGGGGTCCTATCATCAGAAGCGCTTGCACTTGAGCCGGGGATCGTTAGGGAGGCGGATTTCTGCTTAGGGGAATGACAATCTTGGTCCTGAAGCAAAGAGCTGTCTCCGTCGGTGGTGAGCTCCCCGTCACTGGAAGTGTTCAAGGGGAGCCGGGTGGCACACCGGGGTTTCCTGACTAGCGCCTGGTTCCACCAGCTAAGCCCAAGCTTAAGCTCCCAGCGCTCGGCCGGCGGGAGGACCGGGACGCCACCAGGGGCCCGGGATGAGATTTGAACCCCGCACTAAGGCGGGAGCGGAAGCCGCGAGAGGAGCCACCTCGCGCCCCCACCCCCATCTCGCTCCCCTCCCCCTACCTCCTTCCCCCTCACACCCCTCCCTCCCCGCCCTCCTCGCACTGCCACGTCTCGAGCGCTCCGACGCCCGCTGGAGGTGGGCGGGGCCGACGCCAGCCCCGCCCCATCGCCCTCTCCTCCCGCTGGTCTGTCTCCCAGGCTCGGTAGCAGAGGGAGCGGAGGGGGGGCTGGCCTCGCCTCCGGAAGTGGCCGGGGAGGGGCGTCGTGACGTCCTTCCGGCGAGTGGCTGGCGGCCTTAGGTGCTGCCGTTGTGTTGGCCCCGGTGAGGGAGAGGAGGCTCGGAGCCGCCGGATCCGGAGCCGCCGCCCCAGGAGCCCCAGGCGGGCCCGAGTGAGTGCGGGTCGGGGGCCGGGGGCGTGAGGCGGGCGGGGCCCGGCGCCTCCGGGGACAGCGGCCGGGCCGGGCCCGAGGCGGGCGGGAGGGCGGGGGGGAAGTGACACGCAGGCGGCCCCGGGCCGTGTGGGGCCGCGCGGGGCCCGGAGCCGGGGAGACCCGAGCTCGGCCCCTCCGGGCCTGGACGGTTCCCCCTCCCGGGGCTGCGGCGAGGGGCGTCTGGGAAGCGCTTTGGGAGCCCCAAAGCGCTTCCCAGGTGCCAGCCGTCAGCGTCCGAGCCCCAGCCCGTCCGTGTGGACCCGCGGCCGCCTCCGGGCCTGGCTGGGCCCCTTTGTTTAGTTAAGTAAGAAGAAGAAAGTTTCTGATCCAGGCGAATCCGGGAGAGCGAGGTGCCGAGGAGGTGCTGCCTGGTGTCCGCGGAGGAAGTTTACTCCTCCGGGAGTTTCTCGGACCCCGGCTCCCATTGATGCTTCTCCTTCCGCGTTTGTTTGCTCGTTCTTTTGCTGCCCTTTCGCTTCCCCGGGTCCCCTCCCCCAGTCCCTCCGTCCAAATAAACGGCGTTGAGCAATCCCGGCCTTGGCCGACTTCCCGGCCCGGACACGGACGGACGGACGGACGGACGGACAGACGGACACCTCGGGCCCGCGGCTCTCCTTTCCCCGAAGTGATTCTCAGGCTCTGTTCACCCGGCTGCGGGGACATTTTTGTGGTCGGGGCGGTCCTGGTCCTTTTTTTTTCCCTTTCTGAATGATTTTTGTTTGTCTGGAGAGCACTCCCTCTGGCTGGGTCGGTTCAAGGCAGGGAGGTGCCAAACCGCCGGGGTGGAGGGAGTTCCCTCACCTGGGAGTATCTTTGCCGTTTCGGCACGTGATGGGTATTGACTGTGCCGCTGAAATCCCCCTTCCAGCCCCCATCTGCATAGCTGTCTTTCAAAGTGCTTTATTTCAAAAGGTCTATGAGTTAGTTCAGTGAAGCTGTATTGTGTCCATTCGTTTTCTAAGACTGTAAGTCGAAGATTTTGGGAAAGGGAGTTTGCCTCTCTCTTGAAATGACACATACTGGTTTTTGTTTGTTTGTTTTAAGTGCCAGGTACTGTACTGGGCTCTGGGGATACAAGGTCAAAAATGAAACAATCCCCATCCTTTAGGGCTTTACATTCTATTGAAGAGAAGCAACACGATCACAGAAAATTAAAATGCTAAATGTATAGAAAATAACTTCTGGGGGACCAGTGCTGATGGATCAGTATAGGCTACCCCTAAGAGGTTACACTTGGGCTGGACTTTGAAGGATGCCCGGGATTCTGTGATCTGTGGGTGAAGAGAGAGCACATTCCAGGCAGGAAGGCCAGCCTGCTTAAAGGTACCAAGACAGGAGATGGACTGTCATGCACAGTGAAAAGCATGTTGGCTAATTTGGCTGTGACAGTGCATGAAGGACTGTGAAATGCAATAGACCTTGTTTGGAAAGGTATACTGAGTCAAACAGTAGTTGTATTTTGTCCTAAAGACAAGAGAGGGACGCTGGAGCTTCTTGAAGGGAGTGGTGATTTTAGACTCATGCATAAAGGTTTTTAGGAGCATGAAGTTGGCAGTTAGGTGCAGTGTAGATTGGAAAGATAAGAGGTTGAAGAGAAAATGACTAGTTAAGAAACTATTGCAATAGACTAGGCCAGAAATGTTGAGGGTCTGAACTTCCAGCGGAACTTGGTGGGTAGAGATAAAGGGATGGATGTGGGTGATGATGTGGAGTTAGAATTGGCAAGATTTGGTAGCTGATTGTATGTGAGGGTGAGAGAAGAGGCCAAGATGAGTCTTGAGTTTGTACACCTGAGTGACTGGTTGGTGTCAGCAAAACAGGAAGTTAGAAAGAGAAGATGATTTGAGAGGGAAAGAGAATGATTTCTGTTTTGGACCTGTTGGGTTTGAGATGCTTATGGGACAGCTAGTTGGAGATGTTCCAGAATCAGTTGGTGATTTGAGACTGGCGTTCAGAGGAGACACTAGGGCTGGGCTGGGTATATGGATATGGGGGCTGACAAAGAAATGGTAGTTGAACTTACAGGAGTTGATGATGTTACTGAGAGAAAATATATAGAGAGAGCAGAAGGTGCAAGACAGAGCTCTGGAGTCCACTCAGGTGGAGGAGAAAGGTCAGGAAAAGTGACCCTGCAAAGGAAACTGAGAAAGCTTAGAACTAGGAGAGCAGTGTCCTGAAAAGCAGTGAGGAGAGAGTAGCCAGGAGGGGGTGATGGTCAGCACTGTGAAATGGTGGAGAGAGGTCAAGAAGCAGAAGAACTGAGGACAAGGCCATCAGATGGGGCAGTTAATAGATCATCAGTCACTTTGGAGAGAGCCCTATCAGCCGAGTGAGCTAGGAAGGCAGATTGTACGGGGATGAGGAAAGGAGGCAGTCAGTGAGTGGAAAAAGCTGCTTCTGGGGCAGCTAAGTGGTGCAGTGGATAGAGCACAGGCCCTAAAGTCAGGAGGACCTGAGTTCAAATCCTGCATCAGACCAAACACTTGACACTTACTAGCTGTGTGACCTTGGGCAAGTCACTTAACTCCAACTGCCTAAGCAAAAAAGAAAAAGCTGCTTCTGGGAGCTTAACTCCCAGGAAGAGAGAAGAGGATCATTGCCTGAGAGTCACCTCTGACACTCACTACCTGTGGGAGTCTGGGCCAAGTTATGTCCCTTTGAAACTTCCATTTCCTTAGGTGTGAAATGGGGATAATACCTGAGTGGCAGAGTGGTGTTATGGTTTGAGGCCAGCCTTGGAGTCACTTGTGACACAACACTCATCTGTCAAATCCACACCTTTGACAGTGTGTCGACCTTGCCTCTCTCCCCCCTGCTTCTTAGAATCCCTAGTTTCATTCAAAGCCGTGCTCAAATGCCACCTTTTATCTGACGCCTTTTCTGGTTTGTACCAAGCCTCCTCACTGCCCCTCCCGCCCCCAGCTACTCCAGAGTTACTTCGAATTTGTTTTGTATGTACTTATGTGTCATCTCCTCCTTTGAGATGTAGGCTCTTTCAGGACAGGGGTTGTTTCCTGTTTGTTTGTGTACCACAGTGGCTGGCATAGTGTGGATGCTTAAAAAAATGCTTGTTGATAGATTCTGTGACAATGGGCATGTCATCTAAATCTCTCAGTGACCCAGACAACTTTGAGACTCTCTAATAATAGCTAACCTTCATCGAGAGTTTTCAAATTTTCAGAGTACTTTACATATATTATCTCATTGATCCTTCCAACAACCCTGAGACAGAGGGGCTGAGTGTTGCTGGGCACAGTCAGTGAAGTGAGGTTCCACGGAGCAGTTACCCACCCTAATGAGGTGGCAGAGCCAGAGGAAGAGAATGGATGGGCCTGTATTGTGGTGAGAGACCCAGAGAGCTCGTGACTGATCAGGTAGGAGGCCACCTTGGCCAGGGCCTTCCCTTCCGCTTGCTGAGACTCCCGTTTCCATTTCAGGAAGATGAGATGGTTGAATGAGATCAGGGCTCCTTCACCTTTTCTGTGCCAGCACCCTGCTGGAAGTCTGGTGAAGCCAATGATCTTTTCTCAAAGTAAGGTTTTTAAATGCAGAAAATAAAACCTAGAGGACTACACAGGAAACATTATGTTGCAATACAATAAAATATCAACATGTTAAAAAAATTCATGGGCCTCAGGTTAAGAACCCTTGGATTATATTTTATTTCTGGGGTCTCATCGATTTCTGAGTCCTTTGATTTAAAAGTACACATGAATTTAAAGATTTCTGTAAAGACAGACGGACAGGAAGAAGTTATTTTCCCCACCTCACACGTATTAAGTAGGAGAGAAGTTTTGAAGTGTGGGTCAGGCTAAGAGCTCCACCTTCTTCCTTCTCTGTTTCTTTTTCCTAGCATTTACTCTAGAAAGAAATGTAGGGGGTCATCTCTCCAGCCCTTCACTTCACAAGGGGAGAAACTAGGCCCAAAGGAGGTAACCCAGTAGCAGTAGCACTGTGCCAACCCGGGCTAGTAGATGGCAGAGCAGCAAAGGCCTTGGCCCCAGGGCTCTGGCATCTCACTGAGTGTTTGCTCCTCCCAGACTCCGAGGCCTCATTTGTCCTTGTGGAGACAGTGGGCACACCTTCGTTTATTCCCCCCTTCCCTCTTTGCAAGTGAGTGTGTACTTCAGAAGGGTGGGACTGGGCAAGCTGCTGCTTTTTGGATTTATCTCCACACAGGATCATGGGATTGATTGGTTTTTCAATTTCTTTGTATTTTCTTAAAAAAGTTGTTTTTTCAACAATTTCCTACCATTTCCTACCATGCCCTGCAAGATGAGTTCTCCCTTGTGACAGAGAAAAATGAGTAACAGAAACATCTGACTCTGGGCCCCATGTAACAATATATACAATATTTTGTCCTAGTCAAATTATTTCTGCCTTTAGGAAAGGAGGTATGCTTTATTATTATCGCTTCTCCTGGACCTTTATTGGTTTTTCCATTACTTAGTTCAATTGAGGATCATAGACTTTGAGATCATCTAGTCCTACCTCATTTTACAGATGAGGAAACTGAGGTTCTGAGATGCTAATGAGGACAGAGTTCTCTCTTATCTGTTCTCCCCCCTCACCTCAACCTGTGACCTGGGTCCATCTGGGACACCTCCAGCCCTCAGGCCTAAACCTCATGTCTTAATGAAGGGATTCCTAACCTAAAGTCTTTGGACTTTAAAAATATATCTATTTTGATAACTGCAGATCAATATAATAGGTTTCTTTTCTCCATCTTTCAGCTCCAGGCATTTACTAAGTCTTTGCTAAAATCCTGTGTTGGTAAAGAGTCTTTCCAAATTCCTCTTAATTCTGGTGCCTTTCAGCTGTTAATTATCTCCCTATTTTTCCTGCATATAGCTTATTTGTGCATGTTTATTTGTGTCTGCCTTGTTTGATTGTGAGCTCCTCAAAGGCAGGAACAGTCTTTACTCTTTTTGTATCCTCGGGGTTCAGCATAGTGCTTG